GAGTTTCCCTATGATACAGCTGATCGGAAGAGAATTTCAGAGTACACAAGAAACCCTAAGAAGCAAGATGAGATTAGGATGAGGGGACCTTACAGGCCGCCGCCTACTTTTGTTTATCCACATAGGGACATTGGAGATACTCCATGAAGGTTTAATCCAGAATAGTTTAAAGATTATGGTCGTTGGCTTGAGTATAGTGATAAGGTGCATAAGGCCTTTTGTTTGTGTTGCTATATTTTCAGAGATAACAATGAGGGACAAGCTGGGAGTGATTCATTTGGAATTAATGGTTGAAATGGTTGGAACAAGAAAAGTAGGTTGGATAAGGTACCCATGAGGGTAAAGGTAATGTTAATAGCTTTCATAATGTAGCAGTAAAACGATGTGATGCTTTGATGAATCAAGATCAATCAATTCAGGTTGCCTCGATAAGCAAACTAATCTTACAAAAAAGCAAAACTGATTTCGTCTTAATGCTTCAATTGATTCAGTTAGATACTTGTTGCATCAAGGCTTAGCTTTCCGAGGCCATGACGAATCAGAAGAGTCAAAAAACAAGAGGAAATTTTGAGAGTTGGTAAAGACTTTGGCAAATTAGAATGATGATATACGGAAGGTAGTTCTTGAGAATGCTCCACAAAATTGCAAGCGGGTATGTGGAGATATTTAGAAGGAAATTGCCAACTATTTTGCCAAGGTAACATCGTCATTAAATTATATTTCCTACCATTTTTGTTGTCTCACAAGTTACACTAATTTCTAATGATCCCCTTATATTTGTGCATAGATAACTTTGAATTCTATTGTTTAAGAAACTGGAGCTGATGTGTTCAGCTTGTTGATTGATGAGGCTGCTGATGTGTCTGACAAATAGGAAATGACAATTGGTTTGACATATCTTAGCAAGTGTGGATTTATCATTGAATGGTTAGTTGGAGTTGTACATGTGCAAGAAACATCGGCAATATGTCTTCATGCCGCACTTCAAAACCGATATTGGTTTAAGCATAAAACAAGTCAGATGACAATGTTATGACGGGGCTAGCAATATGCATGGCGAGTTCAATGGCTTGAAAGCAAATATTTTGCAACAGAATAAGTCAGCCTATTATGTGCATTATTTTTCTCACCAACTCCACTTTGTTATTGTAGCAGTACCAAAGAAGCATGAAGATATTGCATATTTTTTCTACATGATCTCCATTTTATTTAATGCGGTTGGAGCTTCTTGCAAAAGAAAGGACATGATTAGAGAGAAACATCAAGAGGATGTAATAAAAGCCATAGGTCGTGGGCAAATTAGCATTGGCAGAGGGTTAAATCAAGATCAAACTCTTCAGAGAGCTGGTGACACATGTTGGGGCTTGTTGGGGAACGTAGCATGCAATTTCAAAAAAATTCCTACGATCATGCAAGTTCTATCTAGAAGATGCATAGCAACGAGAGGGGGGGAGTGTGTCCATGTACCCTCGTAGACCGAAAGCGGAAGCGTTTGATAACGCGATTGATGTAGTCGAACTTCTTCTCGTTCTGACCGATCAAGCACCGAACGCACGACACCTCCGAGTTCTGCACACGTTCAGCTCGATGACGTCCCTCGAACTCTTGATCTAGCAAAGTACCGAGGGAGAGTTTCGTCGGCATGACGGCGTGGTGACGGTGATGGTGAAGTGATCCGCGCAGGGCTTCGTCTAAGCACTATGTGAATATGGCCGGAGGCGTAAACTATGGAGGGGGGGCGCCGCACACGGCTAACAATGTTTGTTGTGTGTTCTAGCGGTGCCCCCCTTCATATATATAGGTTGGAGGGGAGGAGAGGCAGCCAAGGGGGCACCCCAAGTAGGAGGAATCCTACTTGGGGTCCTCCCAATTCAGCCTTCCACCTTTCCTATTCCTATTCGGAGTAGGAAGGCAAGAGGGGGAAGGGGGAATCCTATTCCCTTTTTCCTTTCCTCCTTCCCCTTTTCTACTCCAATTTGGCCAGCCCATATGAGGGAGGCGCACCAGCCCCTTAGGGGCTGGTCTATCCCTCTCTTGGCCCATTAGGCCCATATAGTTTGTCGGGGGTTACCGAAACCCCTTCCGATGACCCGATACGTACCCAGTACCCCCAGAACACTTCCGGTGTCCGAATACTATCATCCTATATATGAATCTTTACCTCTCGACAATTTTGAGACTCCTCATCATGTTTGTGATCTCATCCGGGACTTCAAACAACATTCGGTCACCAAATCACATAACTCATATAATACAAAATCGTCATCGAACGTTAAGTGTGCGGACCCTACGGGTTTGAGAACTATGTAGACATGACCGAGACACTTCTCCGGTCAATAACCAATAGTGGAACCTGGATGCTCATATTGGCTCCTACATATTCTACGAAGATCTTTATTGGTCGAACCGTAGTGAGAACATACGTTATTCCCTTTGTCATCGGTATGTTACTTGCCCGAGATTTGGTGGTCGGTATCTTCATACCTAGTTCAATCTCGTTACCGGAAAGTCTCTTTACCCGTTCCGTAATACATCATCCCGCAACTCATTAGTCACTTTGCTTGCAAGGCTTCTTATGATGTACATTACCGAGAAGGACTAGAGATACCTCTCCGATACTTGGAGTGACAAATCCTAATCTCGATCTATGCGAACCCAACAAACACCTCCGGATATACCTATAGAGCATCTTTATAATCATCCAGTTACGTTGTGATGTTTGATAGCACACAAGGTATTCCTCCGGTATCCGGGAGTTGCATAATCTCATAGTCGAAGGAATATGTATTTGGCATGAAGAAAGCAATAGCAATAAAACTGAATGTTCAACATGCTAAGCTAACGGATGGGTCTTGTCCATCACATCATTCTTCTAATGATATGATCCCGTTCATCAAATGACAACGTATGTCTATGGTTAGGAAACTTAACCATCTTTGATTAACGAGCTAGTCTAGTAGAGGCTTACTAGGGACACAATGTTTTGTCTATGTATCCACACATGTATCAAGTTTCCGGTTAATACAATTCTAGCATGGATAATAAACATTTATCATGATATAAGGAAATATAAAATAACAACTTTATTATTACCTATAGGGCATATTTCCTTCAGGGCTCACACTACAGAACTCTCTCAAGTCTAGTGACGTTGTTCCCTGCAACCATGTATGTTCTAAAATATGTGGATGAAGAAGGAAAAATGAAAAGAAAAGCTGTGCACGTGGTCTTGTAGCATATTTCGAGACCTTTGATTTTGTGTTTTATTTGCGCATGATGCTGGATATATTAGGAAATGCAAATACTTTGTCACGTGCCTTGCAAAAGAATGATCAAGACATCCTTAATTCCATGTCATGTGTGAAGTCAACAAGAAATGAGCTATAAGAACTAACGGAGAATGGATGGGACTCACCGATACAAAAAGGCATATTCATTTTGTGAAGAACATCACATTGAGAACACGGATATGCAGGAGCAATATATCAATCGACACAAACCAAGACAAAAACTAATAAGACAAACCTCCAACATTACCGAGTAGAGTGTCTTAATTCCATTATTGACTGGCAACTTCAAGAGTTTGATGACCGTTTCAATGAGGTAAGTTCTGCATTACTTGCCCACATGGCTTTATCAACCCAAAAGATGGATTTGTCGCTTTTAACTTGGATAGCTTGGTGAAGCTAGCCGAGTTTTATCCAGATGATTCTGATTCGAAAAAATGGATGATCTTGGTCCTGAACTACACATTGATAATGTGTGAGCGGATGAAAGGTTTGCTAATTTGGACGGGATTGCTGATCTTGCTAAATAAATATGTTACTTTTCCTTTGGTCTATCATCTTCTAAAGCTAGTATTGGTATTCCCAGTTACCAAAACATCCACGGAGAGATGCTTTCGGCTATGAATGTTGTCAAGAAAAAGTTGTTGGTGATCAGTTCATGAGTGATTGTCTAATTTGCTGTGTGGAGAAAGAGATGTTTTCTCCCATTAGTAATGATGTTGTGTTTGACCTTTTTAAGCGATGAAAAATCGAAAAGGCACAATTTGAAATGTGAGTGACTTTACATTATTCTTTCACATGATGTCACTTCTATTTTAAACTTGCCAACCTAACTTGTTATTTCCTTCTATGTTTTTAGAAAGATGAGAAGTTGGATATGAAATATGTAGTTTATCTGGTACTACTTTATTTATAATATGTAAATGAGAGATTCTATAATTTCAACCGATTGGTATGTTACGCACTCTTCAATTTTAAAGTAACAAATATGTGTGATAAGTGATACCATATTCATATTCATTGTGATTTATTTGATTGATATAATCTTGTTGCGATATGTCACAAAGTAGGACTTGGTTCATATGGAATTTTCACAACCACTAGTTAAGCCAAGGACCGCCGTCATCCCCGTCTCCCGACTGGACACTGCTACTGTGACTGAACTTTTTTTTTCAGTTGTCTTAGAATTAGCAAACGCAAAATTTAAAAATCTGAACTGCGATGTTCATACGAGGCACCCGGCACAGCCACCTCCTTCACCTACTCTTGGCCTGCTGGCCAGTTGGCCATCCATCTATGTACTTCCTCTGTTTCAAATTACTTGTTATGAAAATGGATGTATCTAAAATTAAAATACATTTAGATACATTCATATCTGCGACAAGTAATTCGAAATGGAAAGAGTAACTTTCGAGGGGCACACAAGCGACGCGTCACAGTGCTGATTTGCCGTGAGAAGCGAAGAGACGAAGGAAAAAAAGAGGTATGGCTCAGATACCTTATCCAGCACCCTCCAATGGCCACACGCCATGAGCACACCGCGAAATCCCGCTCCCCTCCACCACTAACCTCGCATTCCCGCGCCCCCACCATATCCCCTATATACCCACACCGCCAAACACCACGTACGTAGCGCCCTACCGAGATCAAGAACTCGCCGCCCGTTGGTTCCAGACCACCCACACCACACAGCTCCAGCGAAGGAGGAGGACCATGGCCGCCTCGACCGCCGCCGTGCTGTCCCCGCCCACCGTGGCCGGGCTCCGCCTGGCGCCGTCCCCGCGCGCGGCCGTCTCGTTCCGGACGGCCTCGTCGTCGGCGGCGAGGCGGTCCGTGGCGGCGCGGGCGGCGCTGGAGCCGTCGGTGGTGATCAGCCTCAGCACGGGGCTGTCGCTGGTGATGGGCCGCTTCGTCTTCTTCAACTTCCAGCGGGAGAACGTGGCGAAGCAGGTCCCCGAGCAGAACGGCAAGACCCACTTCGAGGCCGGCGACGAGCGCGCCAAGGAGTTCGCCGGCATCCTCAAGTCCAACGACCCCGTCGGCTTCAACCTCGTCGACGTCCTCGCCTGGGGCTCCATCGGCCACATCGTCGCCTACTACATCCTCGCCACCACCAGCAACGGATACGACCCACCCTTCTTCGGCTGATCCGTCCCACGTCTCCCCTGCCCGCCTGCGTGCCGGCCGGAGCGGCTTGCTGTTGTAATCTGCCGTGTTTTCATTAGTTCTATAATACGCTGATGGTATACTATCATGTTTGTATGTATGTGAGGTGGTGAAAGATTGATTAATCTGGACAAGTAGTGCAACCGCGTGTGTGTATTCAGTGCCACATGAATGATTTTATCTCTCTTTTCCCCATAGTAGAAAAGGAATTTTAGTGTGCACGGGATATCATGTGCGTAGATCCACCGTCTGTGGTTGTTTTGAGATTAGTGCTACTTTTATCTTCTGGCTTTTCAGAATTTGTCTTGTTTCAAAATGCAGACAGTGAAACAAGAAAAAAATCGAACAAAACATTTGAAACGAGATAACATTCTTTTTGCGAGAGAATTTTTGATTTATTCATGTTCAATCATGACACTAGAACGAACACCAAAAATAATAAATTACATCCAAATACGTAGACCACTTAGCAATGACTACAAGCACTAAAGCGAGCCGAAGTCGCACGGCCACCATTGTCCTTTCCTCGTCGGAGCCAGGCAAAACTTATTGTAGTAGTCAGTCGGAAATCATTGTGCTAAGGCCCCACAGGCACAACTTATTGTAGTAGACAGTCGGAAGTCATTGTGCTAAGGCCCCATAGGACCAGTGTAGCAGAACAGCAACCGCCGCCGACAAAGAGTAGCGTAGATAGAAAGGATCCAACAACACATAAAAGTTGACGAACTATCACCAAATTCGAGCAAATTCACCAAGAACAACCGTTGTCAATGAAGAATAGCATACATAGGAAGGATCTAACCTAAAAACACATAAAAATAGACAAATTATGATCAGATCCGAGCAAATCCATTAAGGACAGATCCGCTGTGAGACACACCATTGGGACAATGTATCCATGCACGGCAGAGAAGCCAATCTCAACATCTGTAGTTATACTCTTATTTTTTTACAGGCAATTGACATGCGTCGCAACGGGGACACACATTTTTTGTTCGCAAGCACCCTGATTTACCATCCATCTTATCATCAATTTGATTACTTACCAGACGTAGACTTTAGCAGCCAACTGAATCAGTACTATCATCAATATGATTACTTGCCAGTTACCAAACGTAGACTTCAGCTGCCAACTGAATCATTAGACAGTTATGTTCTCCACGTGACAGTTATGTTCAGTACATATGCCCCAGAAAAATTGCATAACTGCTTCATGACTTGCACAGGCACAGCATATTCAAACAGCAACAGGGAAGAAGATGACAGCACGAGCACTGGTACACTTGGATGTTGGAATTCATTAACATTTCCAGGATACAGCGAAGAGAGAACCAGCAACAAGATTTGTGAATAAGTACAGTAAAGTGATGGTAACTAGCAAAATCTGAGTTGATGTTACAAACAGAAAATTTATAAGGCCACCAATGCCTAATAGATTACAGGAAGTAACTTTTCAATAATGTCTACACAGAGGCTCATCCGCAGAGAAATTTTCTAACCTCATCAAGTAGGTACAAATTCGGGGGGAGAGGGCAAGAACCGCGCGACGAATGTCCACACTGCGATGCACAGCAGCACTAACTGAACCGAACAAAAAAGTGAAGCTCGACTCGCTCCGGCCTGCAGCTTCAGGACCTCTGAAGCGTTTGAGAGCTCTTTGCACTGTGACTCTAGCTTCTCCACCAAATCCTCTAGCGTCCTCGCTCTGTTCTCGGTGTGCCGAAGCTTGACCTCCAGCTGTTTGTGATCCTCGGACAGAGTCTTCTGAGCTTCTTGAAGAGCGCCCTGACCCTCGGTCTGGGGCTGCCAAGCTTCTGAAGCTCTTTTCAGGATGAAGCACTGGATATCGGCCTCCATCTTCTCCATGAGCAGTTGATCAACTTCAGACTGTAGGGAAAGTAGCTTGCTATTGTATAGTGCGGTTTCCCCTGGTTTTGTCTTGTTGAGTGTATCAAGTTCAAGTATTCTCGAATCCTTCTCATCGATGAGAAGGGAAGCTTCTTCCAGCTTGGACTCTAGAAGCTTCAACTTTTCACTTATTTCTTCTGAAAAATCTTCGCAATTGGGTGAACTGCTCCATTCATTTTCATCGGAATTGTCTGTGGAATTGTCACTGCTTTCTTTCCCAATTTCCACAAACATTTGGAGCTCTGCGGAAATATGCAGAAGCAAACAGTTATTGCAAAAAACACTTTGACCGAAGCAAAAGATGGTTTCATGTTTTCAACAAAACATTTTCGTCCAGCTGCAATGATACGGCAACAGAGCACTCACGAATTTATAATAGGAAATGGACCAAGGAAACTTCCCAGAACATGGAGGGCAAGCAGATGCTTTTACACATTTTTTTATGCTATAATGGCTGCTACTGAAACTACTAGGAAATAAGCTTGCGGACTGCGGAGTACAAAATTTCTTTCTTAAAACTAGGAGATGAAGCAGACCACTTAATCTGATATGAAATATACATTAAAAAAATTGCCACAGAGAATATAATGATATAAAACACAAGAGATCTTTTCTCATGAAATGGGGAAGTCCACAATGGCAGTAATTAATTGCCAGAGCATTGAACTAATGTATTGACCAACTCACCAAATCACCACTTAAATGTTGATAGTCTGATGTGTTAAACAGCAAAGAAGAACATGCATACTGCATTCCTTTTTAAACAAGCATTGTTATCACTGTTAACACCTCGCCTTAAACCTACACTGGAATAAAATATCAATAAGGACTGTTTTAGCAGGATTTCCCAACATAATGTGAGCCAAGTTCTACACCAGGTTTGCCATATTTTTCCATGGGAGCAAGCTCATTGAAAAGTGGAGACGCGCCCTCCCCTGTAGCCATTATATTATTATAACAACCGTAGCCTCCATTCCCTCTTCCGCCACCGTTGTTGTGTATTCACGCCACAGCTGACACCCTCACATCGCTAAGTAGCATTGATGTGTCCTAACTTCTAGCTCGCAATCATGTCTGCTATTTCGCTGGAAGTTCATCAACTCCGTTACTACAAGTAATTTCTTCTTCGCCGGGTTCTTTTCCTATCAGAGATCAACTTCTCTTCTCTTCCATCTCAATTCTTACTACAAGCTGGACATGTTGATGAAACATGGGTTACTAAAACATCAACTTCTCTTCCATTTCAACTCTGTTAATGAAATGACTCACTATCGCCAGGCTTCCATGAGGGAAACGGAAAAAAAATCAGCATTCAGATTCTCCTCTCGGGAAGGCTTAACAAATTAAATTCAACTGTGATTTTCAGTTAAATCAATAGGCAGGAAATGCAAAACTGGTTTCTTTTTTCGCAATGGCCAAAAGGTGACTTGTGCACAACTAGGAACCTCATTGGACAAGAAGTCACTGCATCAAAGGGGCCAAGCATATGGGTGGGGTGGTGGCGTACCAAGAAGAGAAAGAGACTGATGTAACCACATCTTGCAGATCCAACATGAGAGCGAAGCAGCAGCAACAGATTAGGAGAATGACCACTTTTCCCTAATAATGGCTATTGAAGATGATACGCTTTCTTCAGAATTGACATGTTACTGAATCCACAACACTTGGTATGACCGAAGCATGAGGCCACAGTGGATTAAACTTGTCAAAATTAGTATCTAGGATCACTTTATTGTTGTCAAAATTACTGAATCCACAACACTTGACATGTTACTGAATCTACAAACATCATGGATGTATGTCTTGTCCCATTTATTGTTGATCACTATGATACATCAAGCTTTCAGTTATTTCCAGCTAATAAAGTAGGCCGTTTTAGGAAACCAAACGGTTTAATCTCAAAATGAATAGCTGAACAAAAATACTCGGTAGTAGTAGAAATTCTGAACTACGCCCTCTAAGGTCTAAGATGGTAAGTAGGGTATGTGAAATGCAAATTTCCATGTCAAATAGTAACAAACACCTGCTTGATCTAATGGAATAAACTCGTTAGCTCATCAAGCTAAAGCGAAAGGGATTTTTTAAGAGAATAAACTGAAGGGGGATTATATAATCATACCATTCTCAAGTGCTTCTTGTGCTGACTGAAGCATCGAAATTGAGTCGGCGTACGGATCAAGACCTGAATGGATCCCTCCATTCTCACCCTTGCCGATGCTCCCTTCATGAAATCCATGATCATGGGAATACAAATCACCATTCCCCATTGCCATTCTCCCTACTGCACTCCCATTCTCCTTATAGAAACCTCCAGCTGCAGATCGCAAGTGCTCACTTGGAGCTTCATCGTCGCTGTGGTCGCCATCAGTGTAGAGAAACTTGTGAACGCCATTACTGCTGATGCCAGCGCTTGATTTTCGCGCGTGAGCAGCGCCAGTGCTGCGGAGGTCAGATTCGACGCTGGAGCGCGAGTTCTCCGGCTCCACCGTGGAGGAGGCCGCAGAGACGGCGCGCGCACCGGCGCCGCGGGCGCGTGCGGTGCGGAGGTTCTTGGCGTGAGCAGCGGCGCCGGGGGCTCGGGACCGCGCCCTGTCGCGGTCGCGGCCGAAGCCGGCGAGCGAGAAGTCGTGGCGCGGGAGCGCGGTGGAGGACTTGCTGGTCCGGTCGTCGCTGTTGTCCGAGTCGGCGCCGCCGGCGCCCACCGAGAAGCCGGCGGACGCGATCAGGAGGCCAAGATCCGGGTCCAGACTAGTCAGAGCCGGAGCTGGGGACGGCGACGGAGGCGCCTCCGGCGGCACGAAGCTGGACTCGACCGACGCGACTGGGCTATCCACCTCGGCCGCCGCCGCCTCCTGCTTCCCCTTAGGCGCGTCGGCGCCGACGGGGAGACGGCGCTTATGGAGCTGCGCCAGGTCCACCTCAGCGCCAGTGGCGGCGGCGGCTGAGGCGGCGACGGGGCCCGCGGGGGAGCCGCCCTCGTCGTCGTGGTGCTCGCGGGGGATACGGCGCCACCGGCGGAGGCCGCGGCCCTTGGCAACCGGGCGACCAGGAGAGGATACCGGCGGCGGCGACTC